TCTCAGCAACCTTATGAATAGATGTTATGCTATGTCTGTTTTACAAAAAAGGAGATTGAGGCTCAGAGATTTTAAATAACTTTCCATAATCATACAACTTGTAGATGTTAAATTGAGTAAAAGCACAAGAAACTGTTCAAGGCACACACATACAAAAATGTGTGTTTACTGAAAGAACTATGAGGGATGCTACCATCATCATAATCATCACCTAAATAGCACAGTTTTATTTACATGGGAAATTGGAGTATTACCAGAAGTTATATAAAGAAAATAATGGTGATCCAATATCAAATGAGTTGGGAATATAAACATTTTTTTTCCTAACAAGTGTTTTCCCAACACATTTGACCACCCATCTCACCTCCACTGCTTTCCACATACAATTACATTCCAGGAAATGCTATGCTATAGCCTAAGGCTATCTATCTCCCAGGCCAGAGCTCCAGGGACTACTCAAATACATTTCCTTCAAGAATTCTCTCCTGTCTCCCTCATCCCCAGAATAAATTTCTTTTTTAAAATTTTGAAATTTCTGATATATAGTAGTAGTTAGTTGATATTTATGATATAGCTCTAATGAGGGAATTTTTTTAAACTATATATATATATATATATACACACACATATAAATATGTATGTCTGTATGTATACAGATCAGAACACACACACACACACACACACACACACCAGAATTTACACATTCAAATGAGCTCTCTTTTAAGTGGCCACCATGGGGAGCTATGCATCACCCAAATAATTTTTTAAATTCCTTTTGGGAATTGGCTTTAAAGAACTACATCTAGGGGCGCCTGGGTGGCTCAGTCAGTTAAGCATCTGCCTTCGGCCCAGGTCACGATCCTGGGGCCCTGGGATCGAGCCCCATGTCAAACTCCCTGCTCAGCGGGGAGTCTGCTTCTCCCTCTCTCTCTCTGACCCTGCCCCCTACTCGTGTTCTTGCTGTCTTTCTTTCAAATGAATAAATTTTTTAAAAATCTTAAAAAAAAAAGAACTACATAAGTATCCGCATGATAGTCTCATCCTTTCAGAATTGAAGAATTTCTAGAAAGAATCAAAACTTTTTGGAACAAACAAATTGAGACTCTCAAGTAATGAAATTGATTTTTTTGCAAGGCTTAGAAATTGGTTCTGAGAACAATTACAAAAGTAGATTAGAACATATATGTTAGAATATGATGGTATTGCTTAAATAGTCACATAGGCTGATGACACGCCTGCTCTGGGGAAGCAAATGCAACTTGTTACATTATGTGAAGGGTTATATATTTAAATGCCTTCAAACAAATTAAATATATGAAATCCTTGGGTGTATAAGACAATAGGTAATAAAGGAAATAATGAAAATAAGAAAGTGAGTGTCCCACCTTGCAGAATAAAAATAAAAAATAAAAAAAGGTCACTGCAAAAAAAAAAACAAAAACAAAAGAAAATCTCCTGTTATTGAAGTAAAGGATGGGTAAAGGGAGTTATCTTCTGTTTGAGTCTTTTTTTTAATCTCTCGAGGTGTCCCTTGGGTTATATCTGCTAAACCCTAGGGCTTCCCAGGCATAATAAGAGAAAAGTGACTAGGTTTCACTGCAAGCAGATCTGTTTTCGAATCAGAGAGACCATGTACAGATAAGTTACCTGATCTCTCCAGGTCTCAATTTTCTCATCTAGACAGTTATTAAACTGAGAGGATTAAACATGACAATGCAAAGATGCACTTAGCCTATGCCTGGGGTAGCCTCAAGTAAATGGTGATAATTTATTTGATAATTAGAATTTAAACACCATAATGTTTAAACATGTGAAAACACTGCTTTGCCTTGATTTCTAGCTTGGCATAGAATTTTTAGTATTCCTTCTACGAGCTCTTTAATCAATATTTACTAAACATATCCTAAGCACAGACCACTGTGCCAGAGACTAGGGATACAAAGGTGAAATGAGTAAGTTGTGTTCTCAAAAGCTTATGACTGGAGAAATGAAGCTCATACCAGGTTATAATACCAGTGAGAGGAAATAGTCCATGAAAGATATACATGAAGAGCTGTAGAACCTTAGGGAGAAAGAGACAGATTCTGACAGAGACAGGAAAGACTTTAGTGCTACAGGATGATGAAAGAAGAATTGGAAGGTCTCAAGCAGAAATGTATGGAAAGAGAGGCTGTAAGTAATTAGAACATTAATAAGCCAAAGAATGGAGATCCAACAGTATAAAGTATTTTCAGGGAATTACAATTAGTTCTGTTGATTTATGGTTTCAAGTGCTTAAAATAAGTCACACTGAGAATGTAAACTCCAGACAGATTGGTGAGGCCTGGAATGCTGAGTGAACAAAAATGGACTTTTATATAACAGGCAATGGTAAGCCACTGCAAGGTTTTGAACATGAGATTGGTATGATAAATGCCATATTTTAGGAAGCCTAATCTGGAACCATCCGATAGTGTGTGTTGCAGAGGAAAAGATTAGAAGCAAAAAGACCACCAGGAAAGACATTGAAGTAACCCACAGGGAAAGGGAGGTACACTGCTGTCAATAGAAAGAAGGGCACAGGGGCGTCTGGGTGGCTCAGTCAGTTGAGCACCTGCCTTTGGCTCAGGTCATGATCCCAGGGTCCTGGGATCGAGTCCCACATTGGGCTCCCTGCTCAGCGGGGAGTCTGCTTCTCCCTCTCCCTCTGCCCCTCCTCATGTGTCCTCTCTTTTGCTCACTGTCTCTCAAATAAATAAATAAAAGCTTTAAAAATACAGAAAGAAAGAAGGGCATAATGGTGATTGAAAGCTAGGAGGGTAAAGGAGTTTTTGGAAGTTGTGTTTCTTTATCAAGCACAAGACTATAACTTAGATTTTATGCTTTTGGGGTGGTTTGGGGCATGCTTTTGGAGATAACCAAAGTTGGCAGCTTTGGATCTTCACCTCAAGGAGTTGTAAGAGGAGCCTGTCTAGGAAAGTGGCAACAGAGATACAAAGACAAGAATGAGTATGAGCGAAAGACTTGACAATAGGAAGTCTAGTCTTCAAATCACCAATTCATCTGTGTTCTGTCTTTGCCATCTTTCTTTAGCATTTACTACTTGGTAATGTCCGTAGCTTCTGTATCAACTTACCTGATCCCCGGTATGTCTATTAAAGAAAAATTTTCTTCATATCATTTCTCTTCCATGACATTAAGGATTAGTGGATGCAGTTCAGCTAGCAAAGATAAAAAATTATTCTTTGCTTTTTACAGGGCTGTTGGTCATTCTCGGGATAAGAGAGTAAGTCCTTTGGGGTCAGTGGCTGGCTATTAGGTTGACACTAATCTCCTTCAAGCCAGACAGTTATGAATAATAAAAAGAGGGTCCTTAAAGAAGAGCAAAAAGCCAGACTGACTCACTAAGCATCCAGTAGTCTTCCGTACCAGACAAAGGGGTAGTACATTGTGCAATTAATGCAATGTTTTCACGTGGTGACTTGGCTCCTAAGTGTTGGGCTAAACATTGTATAATGAAATTTCATCCAAGTCACTGGAGTCCCATAGAGCAAATATGTGAAATGATTGAAAGATGACTCTCCTACTTCGAGAATGACTGGAAGGTGATTCTTCTATAGCACTTTATAATTCTATATGAACTTTCAGTGGAAATATTTAAACTTACACTGAACTAGAGTGATATAATGAACACTATGTAGCTTTCACTCTGCTTCAGTGATTATCAATATTTTGCCAATTGTTGCCAAGTTTTTTATTATCCCTAGTACTTTCTTATTGGAATATTTTAAATCAAATATCAAACATGTTGTTTGTAAATAATTCAGTATGCATTTCTAACTTTTAAAAAACTATTTCTGACACAATGAACATACTCCTCTCATACTACCTATCCTTAATATCATCCATTACCCATTCTATTTACACATCTCTGCAATTATGTCAAAGGTGTTCCTTTACAGTTAGTTTGTTCAAATCAATATTCAAACAAGATTCACACATCACTTTTGGATATTATGTCCATAACAGTCCTCCCTTCATTTATTCTTGACATTTATTTATTGGACAAACAAATTTCATTTCATATTTTATAGCCAGGCTGCCACACTATTTTCTACTTCTAAAGCAAAACCAAAATTCATTCAATATCTATTCAACTACTGTATAATGAACAATTACGATGTACAGGACAGTATACTGGTGCTGAGTATGATTCAAAGATGTCTGTAAATCATGGTCCCTACTGCTAGGACTTTACAATCTGAAGGAAAATGAAAAATAATAATGCACAAATATAATGACAACATATCAGTAAAAGTCAACTGAGTTGTATAAGATGCTATGTTTTAAAGGAGAGGCATGATTTAGAAGATAAGGGGGTTCTTTTTACGGAAGCTGGCATGTGACATGGATGGTTTAGAATGGCCAGCAGTTGAGAGGCATAAGAGAACTAAAAAGAGAAACTGCATCCTATCATTTAAAAACTTGAGGGAAAAAAGAAGAACAAACCTTAGAGGTAAAGGAAGCAAGAGATACATTCAAGAGATTATAAATGAAATGATTCAGCTGAAGCAGGATATTTGTGAAAGAAACACAGGTAAGTAGGGGGCAGATTTGGGAAGACCTTGAATAGCAGGCATATTGCTTGAACATGTTCTTTACAGCAGGGAACCATCACCTCCATTCATTTTTTCGCATATCAGAGACTGTTGGACATGATGTAAACATAGATATTCCATTAGTAAGCAAAATGCATCAGCTCATTTCATAAGGAAGCTTAAAAAAACTGCTTATGTATTCCAATACCAATCATTTCCAAATATTTATAGTAAGTTGGCAATATAATTTAATGTTTTATTTTGCCCAACAGCTAGATGCTCCACTCAGAGGAATACAAACAAATTGAAGCTGATTTAACCAACACATACTACCTAGCAGCTGAGAAACCTTCATGAAGCAAGGATTAATTGTTTGTGGCATAGCACACAACAATAACAACAACAACTCAACAAATCTACCATAGGAGAAATAAAGATAACTATTAAGGATAGGTATACTAGCCTTGAAAACCTCAGCCTCATTTTTTATCTACAATGAAAATCAAGTGAAGTTTATAATATGTCTCTTATCAACAACAAATACATACTGACCCACATGTTCTCTCTTTACTAGCATAATGCCAATTGATTTTCATGAATAAGAGATCCTCAAATGATAGACGAATTTTCAAAGCCTTCAAAGAAAGTATATATTGAATTTAATGTAGTTTGATTGGTAAGTATTTTCTTCTTGCATGCTTATTCCAGGTATCCATTTTACATAGATTTTAAAATATTTTTGAGTGCCTGTATATACCAGAGTTTGTGTTAGACTTTTGAGGAAATAAAATTCTGCATAAGGTGTCGTCCTGCTACCCTAGAGGCTTATATCCTAATACAGATGACTAAAGATACATATTGAAGTAAAATTATAGGCAGGATTGAGACAGAGGTATCAAATTGGATTAAATTAGGGTTTTTTCAATAGCAGCACTATTGAAATTTTGAGTCAGATCATTCTTAGTGGTGGGGAGCTGTCTTGCATATTGTGAGATGTTTAACAGCATCCCTGACTTCCACCCAGGAGATGCCAATAGCACCTTCCCAGTAGTGACAACTAAAAACATCTCCAGATATTGCCCATATCTAAAGACTGAGTGAAAAACCACCTGTAGTTTTAAATCACTCTATTAGATGGAAAGTGCTACATGCATTTTGTGAATGAGGAGAATTTGTGGTTGGGGAAATCAAGGAAAGTCCATAGAGGGTAGGGGGCCTGGCAGAAGTAGGCTGAGAAGAGGAAAGCATTTCAGGAGTGGAGAAGATAGTGAGAAAGTGGCCAAACTGGAGATGGGAAGCCAAGTGCATAAGCATAAATTATGTTCCAGAGTCATGTGTAGCATGCAGTGTTCAGGAGGTGGTTAATAGAGAAAAACTCAGCAAGCAAAAAACAATCATATCATGGAGGTCCTTGAATGTATAAAATAGATTGTTTTTCATTTTGTAGGGATGCCACTGGAAAACATAAGTGAAATGAATAAAGCATCATTTGGAAATGTTAAAAAGGCAGTTCTGGGCAGAATGATTTGGGCAAATGAGAAAGTCCATTTGAGGTGTGGCACTCAGTTAAGGACATAATTTGGCAGAAATTGGAGAATGTATTTATGGGAGATGTATTTCCCAACATGGGATGAGAGAGGAAAAACAATTGAAGAAGTAAATTCAGTAGCTTGCTTCTACATTTGATCTCATAAATTGTTGTTGAAATTGTTTTCTCATAATAAGAGTTGACACTTTATGACAGAGCTGATTGGCAGATGTGCGCCCAGATTCTCTGGGATTCTATGAAGTGGAAAGTTGTAACTGATGTTGCAGAGTTACAAAGACAAAGATGATATTATTCTCAAAAATAACTCCCTAGTGACATAGAAACTATGAATCCAGGCATTTAAATAATCTTGCTGATAAAAAATACTCAATTAAAATTCCAAGGCCTGGCACAGAAATTTGTCTGCTAAAATTAATATTTATCCACATTAAGGTCCGCACAACACAACCAGACTTTTGAAAGTCTCCTCATTTCTCTAATGCCTTTAGAGAGTTTTGACCTAAGTTTATCTTCATGAAACATGAAATATGAGGACAAGATTTATGAAGACAGGACATAATTCAATTCCATATGATATGCGACTGTAATAGTTGAACTTCAGAAAACCCCATCTAAAAGGTTAAAATATATACTTAGTAAACTTACTCTTGATTAGTAACTAAACTGCTCATTTTCTCTGAAAATAGTTACCACCCCTTTGAATATCAAAACATCATCTCATGTACAGACAATATGGTATTATAAATAGGGAGACAAGGAAGCAACAAAGAAAAAGGCCGAGAAAATCATCACTTCCCCTTCACCCCCATGGCGCTTTCCATCCTTGCCCAAGTCACCTATGACTTAGATCCAAGAAAGGGGCATTTTCTGAAATCACAGAGACTTTCTAGTCTTTGCCAACAGGCTAGTATATTTATTTTAGAAATTCTTAAACTTACATATTTGAGATTATGACACCAGAAAATTAAAATGCACTTTTTTGAAGAATATGGATGCACTGAGGTCATAAGATATTAACTGAATAGGAAGAAATGAAGATCTCGGGAAATCAGTGGAGAAAAAAAATTAATCTCAGGCACGAGAGTTTTGAATAAGCAAACTCTAGTTTCATAAGCAGGGAATTAAATACTGGTGGAAATTCAAGAGAGGATTTTTCTTCCTGGCAGTTAGATATAAAATAGGTAATAATTGGAAGAAACTTGAATAAGTGAGACAAGTTAAGAGACTGATGCAATAATCCAGATGTTGTTCATTTATCAAAAACAATTTATAAGGATCCGCAGTACTAATGGCACTTTATTAGATACAAATTAATGCTTACTTGAACTAGGGCAGTGAATAAAGAAATGGAAACGATTCTCCTGAATATTAATAAAATGATTAAACCAGCTCAGGGCCCATTTTTTCTTGAGGCCTTTATTCCTGAGACTTTACATATTTGACATGAATCCACAGTTTTGGGATTCTTTCCTAAAATAAACTGCGTTAAGAATCATGGGGAGAATTTTACTAATAGCTGCCGATCAACTGCTTGTCAGTCTGTACCAAGATGACATATTTTTCTGAGTGAAACAGGACCATGTTGTGAAGATGAGGGGGAGGAAAGAATTCTGGAGAGCAGTGCTACTCCCTCTAGGTTCTATCAAACGCTCTACTTCTGTCAGTCACCAGAGAATTGAAATCCATCCCTGTCCTATAAGAATGCTTTTAGTGAGCTGCAAGTGTGTTCATTAAAAGAAATGAATGAGCCAAATGACCACCATTATTGATCATTTCTACCCTGTGGCTTTAGACTGGAAATGCTTTTCTAGGGTCCCAAAAGGGATTTCCAATTTTTTTTTTTTTTTTATTTCATCCACAGCACTGTGGACTCAACTCATTCTAGCCACATATGATCTGTTCCATCAGGCCACTGGGAGTAATTGTAATGAATAAAGGAAGTGCATTTGAAAGACCTTTTGGTTTTTTTTGAAAGACTTTTTTAATCCTTCTGTATCATTTAAAATTTATCCACATTGTTAGAAAACTCAGCTGTAGTCCCACTTCTGACTTTGGCTTAAAGTATCAATCTAAAAAAAAAAAAAATCTAAATGGTCCAAGAAATCTAAAAACAAGGTTGAGAAGTGAAATCTCTCAGTCATTCCCCTAGCTTGTCAACATAACATTCACTACATGGGACTTGTTAAAGAAATATTAATTACAATTACATGCTTTTTCCGTATTTCATAAAATTGTTAAGTGATATAAATGAAACGAATTTTCTTTTATGTAAGTTCTTTTTGGAAGGAGAAATATTTAAACATAATTAGTGGTCATATTTGTCTATTTTAGATGCTTGATTAATATAAAAGTATCTCAATCTATGTGTTAATATATACTCTTTTTTATAACGAAATATCCATGGACTCCCATTATATATTCCTCAATCTTATAGTCGACAAACATTTGTTGATACAGCCGTTTTGTGTTAAATGCAGTACCGGGGACTGGCTATGTGAGGGTGTGTAAGACGGAACTCCCCATTTTCAAGGAATTGACAATTAAACTGGTGCATGCAGAGGAAAGATAATTAAACTGGTACCTGTGGAAACACGTGAAAAGTGCTATCACTGAGATGAATATTTAGGAGAAGACGTAAGTCAGAGTAAAGGTTTCATATCCTTTTTCCAGTATATTTAAAATCCTGACAAAAATCTCAGAAATTTCCTATGAAAAACGGCAACATGGACAAGTGGCTTCTATGAACTGTTCAATATCCTCATGGTATCTGAAGGGCTTGAAAGAATCTACAGTAACTATTCGTATCTTTTTACATAAATTCATTAACTATCTCCCCATTCTGACATTCCTATGAAATCTTTAAAACCTACCACGTTTTATTTGGGGAGTATTTTCCTGAGACAAAATTCTTGGTTTTTTCCCCCCTCTCTATTTCTTTCCCAATTTTCTCCTAAATAAGTAAGTCTAGAAGCAGTTCTTTTATTTTGCTGATAAATATGATTTATCTGCTTTTGAAAGAAAAAAAAGAAACACTGAAAAACCTGTGGTGCATTTTCTGCTTCAATAAATGGGCCACACTTTGTCAAATTCTGCATATATTAAGCTTTTGTGAAGTTCTGTTTTTCTCAAATACTAGGTTGCTACACTGGATATCAAAGGGTAATTTATTTTGTTCTAAGTAGGCTTTTACTCAGTTCATTTTTTTTTGCCTCAAATCATGAATACTTCAAAAAAGGTAACTCAGATAAATTAGAAAGTTTAAAGAAGGAGAATATTGGCTTTCATTTATATTTGTGAAACTGCATGCTGCCCTTCATATATGGAGATGATTAGTTCAAACTGAGATCTTTAAGCTACCTGCTTTGTTAATTTTTTAGTGGGAGTGATGAATTTGACGCAATGAATCCCGAAGGACAATGGTCCTGTCAGAAAGTAACTTCTACCAATGGGAAGATCAAAATTTGCCATCTTCATACGGACTGACCCTAAAGCATAGGCGCCAACAAATATAGCTACATATAAACAGAGGTAGAAGGTATAGGTAATCAAGAATATGCCATTCACAATCATTTGCCTGAACGTTTTTAATTGGATCTGAACATTTACTTTTTGTATCCAAACTGTTTTTCAAAATTGTTTATGCTATAACCTTCTTAGGAGGAACTAATATCATTCCATCAAACTTTCCAACTAAAATGATAAAATGCAATATATACACATTCTAATTTGAGAAATATTTTGTTCTAATAAAGCACCTAGCACAATGTCTGGAATATCATAAGCACTCATTAAGTACTTCCTTCCTCTATTTCTCCATGATATTTATCATGATAAATTATTTTGAGTTGGCTTCCTTCTCATACTAGGACCATTCTAACTACCACATGGCACACATCTTTTTCCCCTAAAGATCATTTGGTATTAAAATAATAGTAGATCTCCCATTTCTATACCAGTTACTAGGTATATTAAACTTTATTTTAACTCACAAATTTCTGTTGGCCATACTCATGTTACTTGGTGCAAGTCTTTTCACAAATTTAGTCGTTCCCATTTTCTTTCAGAACATTTTCATCATGCTGATAAAACAACAGGAGCCCTGTGAAAGAAATAAATGGGCATGTAAGTGGACACTGATACCTGCATCTGGGAACCAACTTTGACCTTCTCCATTTCATCTATTTGCATGTCTCTTTCAAATCCTGTATTTACATCTTCAGAGAGTTTCACTGTCTTCGAACCAGTTATCAGTTGGGTGGTCTTGTTGATTGATTTATGGCTTTCTTCTCTCCTCCAGTTTTAATCAAATGCCCATTTTTGAGGGAAAAATATTTGAAATAAACTCAGAATGCAGACTCACATGTTGACGAATTGTGTTTTCCCCACAACCACCACCCGAGATTCAGGTCTCCGCTGCTTCACATGTAAATGGTTGACATCACTTCCCTCCCTGCCTCCAATCCCCTTTCACCTAATTGTCCTACTGACTGAAAGCTTGAGAAGCGTTTCTGCCATATTGTTGCTCCTCGCTTAAAAACTTAAATGATCTCCCATTTCTATCAAACCAAAATTCCCTAGTTTGCATTTAAGGTCCAATGCTAACTCATCTTTGAATGCTACTGATATATTTATTGTCACAACTCAACAGATAGCCCTGTACACAAAGTCATGAGCACATACATTTGATGGTTAAATTTAGCTCAGCTACTACTGTTTTGAAAATATTTTCTGACCCTTCCCCTTTGTCCCTGGTATGGGTTAGGTATACCTCTCCTCTCAGAGTACCTCCAGCAAATCCATCAGAAAATGGAACATACTGTATGGTCAATTTTTTGCTTATTTGTCTCTATCCCCCATTAGGATGTAAGTTCCTAATGAGCAGAAACATGTCCTATTCATCTTTATAGCTCTAATACCTACCAAAGTATTGACATCTAGGAAATGCTGAAATATGATTATTGAAAGAATGACATTTCCTAAGTTAGGGACTGTATTTCTCATTCCAAAAACTTACTGATGTGTCTCTTCTAAGTAAAACGCTGCCTTTCTTTCTCTTTCTCTTTCTTCTACCTCCTAAACTAGGATCAAATTGAACTTCTTTGAAAATAGTCAGATGTTCATCAAAGAAAGAAAGAGATACGACTTCAGCTTCCAACTTAAAATAATTTGTTTCTAAAGCAATAGTGCCTCTCACTAAGGAGTCTAAAAAGCCACCCAACCAAAAGAGACAAATAGGTAGTATACGCAGAATCCTGACATAAGCCTCCAACACTCAGCTCAGCCCTAGATATATGCACTGAACTCCAAGATGCCATTCTTTGGGACAGTTTATATCCCCCATACATAGAGCCCAGCTCTTCCCTTTCATTTATTTATTTATTTATTTATTTATTTATTTATTTAAGATTTTATTTATTTATTTGTCAGAGAAAGTGAGAGCAGGGGTGGGGAGAGGCAGAGGGAGAGGGAGAAGCAGGTTCCCCGCTGAGCAGGGAGCCCGATGTGGGGCTCGATCTCAGGACCCTGAGATCATGGCCCGAGCTGAAGGCAGACGCTTAACCGACTGAGCCACCCAGACACCCCCAGCTCTTCCCTTTTAGTGATATGATGAAATACGTTCTCTGCTCATCACTGTTGTCACTGTTTCCTGGCCACTCTCTTCTCTTGCCCAAAGTCCAAGGACCCCTAAAACAGAAAACCCGCTCCATTGGTACCTATTCTGCACCTCTTCATTGCAGGCATCAGTTCAGAATTTGCTCAGCAAGTAGGTGCAGTATTATTGCCATAATACAACCTTTTATTGTATGTGAGAAATTTCCCAAGAAAGCTTTTCTCAATCATGTACCTCTGGTTTGGTTCTAGGTACTTTCCTCGAAAGACAATCTTATTCACCGCAGAAGACACTGGAGCCTTCAATAGTTGGAGCTGGGGCCTTCACCAGGAAGCAGTCTTTCACCTATGTTTTTGCTCTACCTTTCACTCTTGATATCAACTTTGGTACAAGCATGATCTTTGGCTATCAGACCCTATCGTATATCTGTAAAATTTGAAAATAAAGAGGTGCCTAAAATATGAGCATATCTATGTTTCTTTCTACTAGTCTGATTTCTTAGCAGCTCAGTATCATGTTTAACAACAAATTCAAAAGGCAGGAGTAAGAATGTAAAAATAACTGAAATTTTCAGTCACTATCTCATTTTATAGACCTGTCACGAGCACGCTATGAAGGCACACACAAGTTGTGTCTTTCCACAATGTCAGCTTCATTCAGTCATAAAGCAAGGTTAACATAATTACAAAGCAGGTTCATGATTCCAAACTCAGTGACATTTCACCACATGATTAACTTGGGTTTCTTACCCGGCACACAGAGCAGAACACAGGACAAGCCACACAACAAACAAGATACACAGGGGGTAGGAGGTTAACGAACCAAACACTGCTCTGTGGGCGTGCAGTTGAAATAAGGCCTCTGTCCAGTCCAGGTCAGCTCTCGGCACTTACTGCTTATTACGTTCCAGCAGTAAAGGCTCTCGGTTCTGTTCGGAGATCAATCGAGCAGAGCCTTTGGTGGCAGTTGCCTTTTTTAGGTGGTCAGACATAGAGGGATCATTGTCTGAAGAGTCTGACAGTTTGCTACAAAAATCCTTCCCTTTTAAAGGGATTTAATCAGTCTTGGGCCCCTGCAGACCTCCTCTGCTTCTGCTTGCTATTAGTTCTGGGGTGTCATCAGCTGGTGCTGGTCTTGGGGATATTTCGTAGCTGCAGTATCCTAAACAGCCTGTGTTATTGCCTGACACAGGCCCCTGCTTGACATGAGTGACTCCATCTTGCTGGACCATTATATCAGTACATAATTCTGCTATCCCTTTGAGTTAATAGGAGTTAATTTTCAAATTCCCTACTGAGTGTTTTCACACAAGACCATTATATCAGTACATAATTCTGCTATCCCTTTGAGTTAATAGGAGTTAATTTTCAAATTCCCTACTGAGTGTTTTCAAATGTGTATTGAACCATAAACTTGTAAATGGTTGGAAGAACTATTTGAGAGAAACCATTAACTCAGGTGTAGGAATATGAAATCACTACGAGATTACATTTGACAAAGCAAGGTCTGTAAAAATGTGTTTCTACTGACAATAAGTAAAAATAATGTGGAATCTTATAAGGAAATTTGAAATTTATCTAACAAATTTAGATTTAATACATCTAACATCTAATATTTTTCAGAGAAGTTTTCACTATTCCCTATATCTTTATTTCCAAACACATTCATCTTTATTCACAGACTAGATGTGCTGTACTTTAAAATTCAGCTTTATAATACCCTAGTTTTTCGGTATTATCATTGATCAGTCCATTTCAGAACATATAAACCTCTTCAAAACAAAGGCAGACCTAATGCCCCAGAACCCATTTGCCCAAAAGTAAAATTAGTAAACCCTGCAGTCAACTTCAGGTTTGATTTTTTTCTAAAAAGTTGTGTTTTGCTCACAAAAAGGCCATTTCTTCCCAAGGCATGTCTCTATTAAATGAATGCTGAATTGTGCACCCTTCTTGATTAGTGAGAATGGAATCTTGCTTTTCTTCTCTTTGCCACAAAATAGCAAAGACTGCCAATATTTATTTATTTTTTTAAGATTTTATTTATTTATTCAACAGAGAGAGAGGGAACACAAGCAGGGGGAGTGGGAGAGGGAGAAGCAGGCTTCCCGCGGAGCAGGGAGCCCGATGCGGGGCTCGATCCCAGGACCCTGGGATCATGACCTGAGCCGAAGGCAGACGCTTAAACGACTGAGCCACCCAGGCGCCCCAAGACTGCCAATATTTAGTCTTCAATTATAGATGGGCATCTGGGTGATGTAAGAAGATATGCCAAAGCAAGGACGGCAAAACTGCCTAAAAAGATTGTATTATTTAAATAAAGTTTGGGGCATGGTTTCTTCCCTGTTTGGAAACAGTGAGGTCTGCCCTATTCTGTTTGTAGGTGTATTTTTTGCTTCGTTCCATGGTGGAAAATGTGAGCCTTTGCTGACTTTGAAGATTCAGGTGAGAAAAGTTCGGATTAGAACAAATAAGTGAAAAATCACACATGCCCTACGAAGGACAGCAAACAAATTCTCTGTAATTCCGGCTACCAGGAGGATAGTATGGACAAGGTTGACTCTAAACTTTCAGACATTAAAACCCTGGGTTGACTAGAACAGCTGCACAATTAGGAGCTGAGGTATTTCCCCCATCTTCATTGTTTTTACAGAGCAGTCTTGACTGCTTGCACCAATTAGACAGAATAAAAGAAAAATCTATAGAAAAAGTGGAAATCTGGTGCACTTTTTACATGTGTTAGTCGAGATCACAAAAACATTGTATTACATTTGCCTGTTTTCAAAAGACCGTGGTATGGATTTTAAAAGAACCTGGAATAATATAAAATCCCAGGTGGTCAAGACTAAGAGCCAAATGAGAACTGCATACACTACACACAATATGCCTACCAGGTGTGCTAAGAGAATTCGGAGGTGAGAGCCATCCCTGAGGAATGGAGTCCATGAAGGCTCCTGGAGGGGCACTTAGACAAGTGGAGAAGGAAAAGGAGCATTTCAGACAGGCAGCTCGTGCAGTGGGATGGAGATGGACCCATATTGTTTGGGAGCAAACAACTGAGTTGGAATAAGGGGTTCATTTGTGGAAGTAAGAAAAACAGAACTGAAGAGATGTATAGGGCCCAACTTGTGGGGTTCCTTGGAGAAATGGAGTTTGAACAGCAGGGAGATATTTATTCAACAAATAAATGAGTGCCTGCCATGTGAGAGATTGTTGCAGTGGGCACTAAACATATTATCTCTGAAAAAGGTGTTTGAGCTTGAGGAGAGGGGAAGGGAGATAGTTTGACCAATACAGAAGAGAATGAAAGGAGGATAGACCAGCGTAAGTTGTAGTGAAGTAGCCCAAGCCAAAAGGGATACACGTGCGCCAGCAGAACACGAACTGAAGGGGATGCCTGGGAAATATGTTATAAAGGAAGAAGAAACTGGACTGAACGGTGCAAAATGTGGGAAGAGAAACAGAAAGTTCAGCAGATAAATTGGTTGGCCATTAAAGGAGCTTATGCTTTAGGATTTATAGAATGTGCAATGCAGTTCTGAGGCTAACAATCCAAATTCAGTCAAACTTCACAGGTTCAGGGCACAGTCCCCCACAAGACCACTCTCCCTTCAGCTGCAAGCTCTAGGGTTCCCAGGCCACCCATCCTTGGGGCCAAGTGGCTACAAATTTGGAGCTGCCCACTATCCCTTTATGTTTGATATTTCACTCGAATGACTCACGGGATTCAGGAAAGCACTAAAGTTTTATTGTAAAGGATAAAAATCAGAACGAGCTAAATGAAGAAACATACAGGAAGATGTGGGAGCTTCCCAATCGTGAAGCTTGTGTCCTCAAGATGTATCACCCTCTGAGGATACTGATGAGTGTCAGCAGCCCAAGAGGCTGAACTGAACATCATTGTACATGACTTTTTATTGGAGTTTCATTACATAGGCATGACTGACTGAATCGCAGGCTATAAAACTGAACTTAATTTCTAACCTCCTTCCCCTCCCCAGAGGTCAGGCTGATATCACAGGACTCAAAGCCCTAAACCTCTACTTACATGATTGATCTTTCCTTTCCAGCCCCCAACCTGGCTCATTGGGTTAGCTATCTAAAAGTACTCCAGGAGTCATCTTATTAGCGTAACCTCAGGTGGGGCTCAAAAGGCCCACCACAAGTAACAAAGATACTCCTATCACCTGGGAAATCCAAGGATTTAAAGGATTCCTCTGAAGAACCAGGGACAAAGTCCAGCCACATTCTTTACTCCAGAAGTAACTCTAGGCTCTCTTAGGCGGAATCTCCAGCAGACAGCTGAAGTTCCAAAACAGAGAGAAAGAGAAAACTAGCTATGTGACTCTGGCCACAAAGAGAAAGGTCACATGGTATAGTTCAGTGTTCAGAGCTACTTAGCAAGGTCTACAGTTCTAGTCAAGAGGATATGCATGGGAAAAGCAACCCAAACATACACAGCATATTTTTCTAAAGAAATCAACCCCTGAGCCTGATACTAACAGCATGAACAGAAACAGTTCTTGCATCTTCTTTCTTAACCAGATGTCTAAAATATATTTCTTTTATATGCTAATAAAACAAGTCCCTAAAGAAAATGTGATCTAAAAAATATACAAATCCAAAATTGATATAGCAGTGACTTAAAATACTTCATTCTTGTTAGACAAATGCAAAAGTGATGAAGTCAGTATTATTAATGCTCTCTTTATTTTGTGCATTGCATACCAGCATAAACTTAGCTGTAATTACTCTATTTTGACATGTTCTCAGTTCAATTCATTGCCACAGATTACTGCAGTTATCAGCTAAGAAGTAGTAGATCAACCAACCTACTCCCTATACCTGCAATAATACCTACATGTATTTGCCTTTGAGGATGATTGTATTCAAACGAAAAACATTATCTTTTCTCTCTTATTCAGTGACAGTGACACAAATGAAAACTATGTAAAAGATTTTTTTCTATTTCAACTGTTTATTATTCAACTTTTGAATGATCAGAAATGGATTCCAGAAAGAATATGCCTTACTTAAAAGTAAGATATCTATAAGCAGAAAAGGGTTATATTTTAAAATACACTATATTTGGATATTGCTTCTTTATACTTCTCTAATAGATTATGGACTTGGCAAATAATATAAATGACTATTTGTTATTTCAAATTAATAAATACAGTATAATATATTTTTTATATAATCAAACCTTATAGGCACGCAAAATATTCTTAGCTCCATGGTTAGGAGGTATCGGAAAATGGCTTAAGACATAAGCAATTTCTATAACATATCAAAAACATATACTGACTGATAAGGACTTAAAAAAAAACATTTTTGAGCACTTAGTTTGAATCACAATGATTAGAACTTCCAGAGGCTGCATTATCTAATGTCTCAGGTTTATTCCTGTGAGAAGTAGATGCCAAGAATTAGATGTGCAAGTGATTTGCTGGGAGAAATGCCTG